CAAGTTTGATATCTTTCAATAAGTCCCATAATATCAACCATAAGAAGTGCTAATTTTCAGCCAGATGAAGATGTAATTGGAACTAAAATGCTGTTTTAATTTTTCCTATGGCATTTTAGTAGAGATCACTTTAGTATTTGTATTGCGATTCTGTACTTACTGGCTATATTTACAACTGGAAACTTATCTTTGATTAGTTTATTCTTTTTAATTAACCAATAAATGATTATATCGATGAATGAGTTTATAGATCTAGTTTTATTTTGGTACAATTTTAGAATGTCACTCAATTGTTACCTTGCATAAAAAATAAAAAGTAGATTATAAATGTCAACAGATGTGATAAATTATATCTCAAAAATATGAATCATAATTTTATATTTCTCTGTGAAGGAATTATGTATTTGACCAATATATGAACTTGTGTTCAAATCAATTCTGAAAGTTACAGGGAAGGAAGAATAACCAGCAATAATACACATAAAAGGGAACTGGTGACATAGAACAATTGTTTTAATATTCATGTTTTTGGCTTTTCACTTCTACATTTCCTCATTTTCCAAAAAATTAACAAGAAACATAGAATTAAGTTCTAAATAAAAATAATAACTCAGCATATTATTTTTCTAATGTTACATGATGATCAAGTTGAACTGTTAAATAGAGATAGTAACAGTTAATAGATGTTAACACTATTCAAGTGTTAAAAATAATGTGAAGTGCTCTAAAGACTCTCTTTCATGTCACAGTAACACCACATCATTTTCATTTTCAGATTAGAAAAATTAGTAAGTTTCCAGGAAAGAATTGGATTATTCTCGTGTGATTTTTATAAATGATATTTTTATAAATGGCCTGTCTTACCTCACCCTACCCAGCTTCTTTCTGTTTTTAGGAAAGTGAACACAGGGCCTCCTCATACCTAGCAAGCATGTTTATCTCTGACATAAACACAACAGTCAAAATCCACCATAAAAACCCAAGTTTGTGCAGGCTGATCATTGTTTATATATAAAATTCACTTTATTATATATCCTTCAAGCCCTAATTCAAACTTTCCTTACAGGGAAATGTCATAATAATTTCAAATTTTTAGAAATGAACTACGTTTTATGAGGCTGAAGCCCAGAAATCATTAATAAAAGTTTCCAAACACAGAAAACATTAAAATCCATTCTTACATTTTACAATAGCAAGTGCTAAAGTATCTACCTAGTATAATTTCCAGAAACAATATCTTCATCTCTTTCTGTAACTGTGAGTCCTGCAATGGATATTGTATATGCCACTAGTATAGTTGGTTGCTGTTAGAATTAAATCAGTTGAATTTACAACAACACTATTCACATTCATAATACTTATGCCTCAGTTAGCCTTAATTTGCTATTGACCTATAACACTTTACCTATGAAAGTCTGCCCCCAAAACTTGATATTGTTCATACTTTTCTGTGCAATGGTGACAGTCTAAAAGTCTTCATACAAACTGACACAGTCACACTCAGACACATATGCAACATTCATGCTCTGTCCTTTAGGAACTTCCTAATGAACCTATAAATTATTACTGTGTTATTAAAGCTATTATCACTAATTGTTAAATCTAACATTTCCCAAAAATATTAAATGAGAAATCTAAAGAAATATTTATGTGATACAGCAAACAGAAGTGTCTTTGTTTTTGAAAACTCAGCTATTTTTTTTCTTATGTAAAGTTACTGGCTTTGGGGGAGATTGGAAGCAGGCATAAGGAGGGAAACGTTCTTTGATGTTACACATGCCCAGGAGCAGCAGCAGCTGCGAAGCCCTGTAATGAAGCATTTGGCCCTCATTTGGCATTGCTTGCTCTTGAGAGGATTTTCTTACAAAAGATCAGCTATTTGATGAATTCCACAGGCTATCGCTCAGATATTCCACATACTGGCACCTACATGCTGCTGAAATTGACTACTACCTTCTGCATGGCACAATGCCCTCCTCACAGATGGGCCCAGGTGTTGTGTAACACTGAGAAATTAGCATCATTTCACTCAGATATTCAGTGTTATTTTTTTTCTTGAGTATGAAAATGGAATTTTGGATCAACTTAATCCTTGCGAGAGGTAACAGTAGACATTAAGCAGAATCGCATACTGTTTAGAGGTATAAATTGCACAAGTAGGGAAATTACCAAGATGTATACTTGTGTCAGGATTAAAAGGAGAGTAGAGTGGAGTTACCCTAGGGCCATTCTTGTAGTTACAAAATATAAAAGGTTCAAATTTAATCTGATACTTATCCTATATGCTTTCCTTTCAAAGATTTCAAATACACATCTTACGTTAAATGAAGTCAACAACTAACTCACCAGGTTTTTCAAGCAGTGAATAAATCAACATTAAAATCTGTCTGTGAGCAGAGAAGCACTTCCACTAGATTTCGAGTGGAGGTTGTTAAGTATACCTAGGACTTCGAAGATTGACAGAGGAGCATTTCCCCACGTCATTCTTCAGGATGACCCCAGAAAGAGTGCTCCAGCTATGCCAGCACAGAAGTCAAAGTTGTTTGTATGGCCTTTAAGAGAGGCCCAGCACAAAGGGGAAACGATTTGGTGAGAGATTTGGCTTCCTGTCTGCGCATGCTGTGCTGACATTGTGGTGTTGCCAGCTTCTCTGAATGGAAACACAAGAGCGAATTAAGCAGCTTCATGAACTCAGAGGGAGAGCAGTTGTTCTAGTGGCTTCCGCGAACATGTCTAATTAATTTTCAAAGTCACCCACATTGTTCTTTTGTGATCTGTGATTGAGAATCTAGCAGAAAACCTGCCCGGGAATGAGGTGGAGGAAGAAGAGAGTTTCATTATTAGCTTTCGGCTCACAGTGGTGAGACCAGCACAATTTAGTTATTCCACTCATTAATATTACATTAGCAAGCTAATGAAACATTTGGGTGAATTCATTTTGAGTAATATAGGCATTAATTTTATTTTTCTGAACACTCAATTATACTAATTGGCATCTGTTAGTGTTTACTATGTATATTTATCTATGAAAATTAAAAACAAATAAGAATGTACCCAGGACTTTTAAACACTACTAATAATTTTTTAGATCTGTGCACTTCCTTTTTATTTTGAACATTATGACCAATTTATGAAACATAATCATACTAACATAAGATTCCCATTAAATTTTAAGGTCTTTTAAATGTCTAAATGTATGTTAGTATTTCCCAAAATAATATTTCTAGTAGAACTGTCACTATTTTCTAGAGCAACTAAACACACCATGGTTAGTAGACACATTACTTTTCTTTTTAAATAAAGGACTGAGATAGAACCAGAGATTTTTAGAATGCCAGGTAGTAGTTAAAAATCTGAGCTACTCTAGCACATTTAAATTATTTGTTAAAAGTGAACTATGTGAATCTTCCAGGATTTGCAGTTTTACAAGCCACTCCATTTCCAGATTCTCAGTGTAGTAGGGTTTATAGAAAGTGTTCGCCCTGATGAATGTCATCAGATATGTGTTCAGCATTACTGTTTGTTTTCAGAAAACCCTTTGGTTTTCTCTTGTCTCAAAGTTAACCCTCTTTTTTACTCCTTTCCCCAGTTATATTGTTCATTCTCAAGCATGGAAAATCAAAAGCCATTGAATCTTTGCCTGTTCTTCTAAAATAAAATAGTGTATGCAATTAATTATTGCTGAGAGCTGTATTACAACTGATAAGTGTTAGACACTAGTGTATCATTCCTATAATCTCAATACTCTATTTTATTTCCATGTACTTGCTTCCCTATTTATTAGGATTCTGCCTTCCCACTAACTACTGCCTTCTTACAATGTATGTCACATCATATATAACAGCATTGAAAAACCATTAAATAATCTTTCCAGTTGCCTGTCTGCACAAAATCAGCTACTGAAAACAACTGTATTATTTCACCATCCTGAATAAAGAATAAGTGTAGATTAATGTATTTATTTACATTGCTGATCAAGTCCATTTTCTTTACTGGGGCTCTAAATACATTGATATCTACTGGTAAACCCCTCTTATTCATACATTTTCTGACTGGACATCATGTGTGTTTTTGCCCAAGTTATACTCAGATCACTTCAGTAGTAATAATGACACCTGCATGTTTCCTGTGCTTCCTAAGTTTTCTTCAAGCATACCAGTGTTCACCTAAAAGAGAAGCTTCTTCAGTGAAGGTGTGCTATCCAGACCCTTTCTTTTTTATCTGTCAATAAGAGAATGTCAGATTTATTTGATCCTTTATGTCTGAGAAATTTTTCTGTCATGTATAAGATTGTCCATAAATATTGTGTTAGAAGTTTAGAATATGAGATCACATGTCATTCCTCCCTTTCTTTAGTGTATAATCAGTCATTTGTGCTATATTACAGTTTGAGTTGTTATATATTACATATATAATATATGTCACACACACACACACACACACACATATATATATATATATATATATATATATATATATATATATATATATATATATATATGCTTAAGATTTATTGGTGATCCATTCATATACAACAGACCCCTAACCAGGGTTCTATTTATTTCTGGAGGTTTAAATCTACTTTTATGCACTTAATAGGGAAGGGGCACATAAAAGACAAGCCCTTGTGAAATTTTCTTGAATTGGTTGCATGTAAACCATGGCTAATTTTAAGTCACCTGGATATACTGACTTCAGATTACATGAAGCTATTCCTTCTATACTTTATGAGAATCCTATTGATAACAAATGTGGAGTTTTACCCTGACCAAGGAAATAAATTCCAAATATTTTAGTTCTCAATGGCACCTTGAAATTTAGTTTCTTTCTTCATCCTGTTATTGTTCAAACAATGTTAAGATTTTTTATTACCTCTTGCTATAATTGAATATAGCCAGAATCACTATCTTTGACAGCTTAATTTAAAAATATTTTATTAGTTCTTTGACAAATTCATACTCTGTATTTTGATCATATTTACCACGATCCTGTGCCCTTACCTTCTGTCAAAGTTCCTCTCTAACTTCTTTGTAAATGTTAACTTAGATTTGTACTATCCATATTCTTCCGGATGTACAGTGGTCTCCTGGAGTGTATTAGACCAACCAGCAACCACAGTTTTAAAGAAAACTGACATTCTGTTCTCTAGAAACTACCAACTGACCATAGTTCCTCAGTCTGCAATAGGGACTCAAGAACCCCTTCCAACCCTATGACACAATATTGCCTGGCAACAAATGCTCTTGTGAGTTTATGATTGCACGGGTTCTGGAATGTCTAGAAGATGCTCTTTGGCTACTGTCCTCTCTGATTTCTTGCTCTTACAGTCTTTCTATCCCCTACTTCATAGGGGTCCATGAGCCTTGTGGAAGGAGTGTGATACAGATGTCCCATGTAGGGGCTGAGTATTTCTCAGTCATTTATTCTTTGCCATTGGGCCACTTGTGAGTTTGTGTGCTACTCACCATCTGTTGCACCAGAAAACATCTCTGGTGAGAAGGAAGAGCAGCACTAAGCTATAGGTTCACTCCAGAAGAATTTAGAGGGTATTTTGATACTATAATAGTCATAGTTTAATGCTGGAGCCTAAGCTCACTCTCGAACCATGAATTTTTGACAGATTTGCAGTGTCAGGCATGTGGTCTGTTTTGTGGTGACTCAGACTAAGGAATGTCATATGCCCTTATTCATACTTCACATTTTCATGTGCAGATTATTTATTGGTTTAATGAAGTTCATACTGAATCTTATAATCCAGACATCTACGCACCATTGATGAAGAGGGAAAGAAGATCTTAATGCATGGAGGACAGTGGACTATTGGTGATAAGAAGGGGGAAGAGAATAGGGGAGGGTAGACTATGTGAGGAGAAAGACACAATGATAGGCAGGTGGGAGAGTTTGGGGGCATGACTAACTATGAGCATGTTTGAAAAGGCCATATGGAAACCTACTATCTCATAAGCTACAGGCACCCACACACACACATGCACAAACACACACACACACACACACACACACACACACACACACACTTTTTTTGCATTACATATAAAAGAATTTAACTGGCATTACCCCTATCTCTGAAAACATTAACTGCTAAATAAAAAGCTCAGTGCTAGGTATGAGATGCTTTACCCACCTCAACTTCTTGGTCAGAGGTGTCCTGGAGCTCCCAAAAATAATACAGCCTATTGATATTGCTGTTGGTCATCCACTAGAACTTTATTTTATAAAGATGCTGACATGGTGTTTTGGATAAAATATAGCATCTTTAACAAATGGTGTTGGAAAACTGGATATCTACATGTCAAAAACTGACACGACCATTATCTCTCACCTGGTTCAAAAATCAATTCCCAATTGACCAAAGACCCCAATATTAAGCATGAAACTCGGTAACTCCTAGAAGAGTAGGTGGTATATTTTAGGATGTAGATTCAGGTCAGGACTTTCTGAGTAAGAATCCAGTCACTCAGGAACTAAGACTGCATAGTTGATTCAAACAAACTTGTTTAGGGAAGTAAAATCTTGTTATTTCCCAAGAACTACAACTCCCAGAATTCCAGGAAGTTACTTTGTCCTTAGACCTGTGGGGTTTACAGATTCACTTTGCTCTTACATTAGTAAAAGCTACAGAAATGGAAAATAATGTTTCCATACATTTTATATTTAAAACTACATCACAATGTGGAAATTTTTAGAAGAGTCTGTCAGTATCTCTTGCTCACTCTTGTTTTCTTATGTCCAGTAAAGATGTCCTCAGTATTTGTAGAACAAACCACTGTGCTCACTGGGAAGGTGACACCTCCCATCCAAAAAGCAAAGGCCATGAGAATTGACTATGTGGGTCTTAATTCCCAAAGCACAGATTTCCTTAATGTGTTACTGTAGCTAGAGTTTTCCTGCCTTACCCACAGTCAGGACAAATCTTTGTCACCCGCCAGTCCCACAGCCGCTCAGGCCCAACCAAGTAAACACAGAGACTTATATTGCTTACAAACTGTATGGCCGTGGCAGGCTTCTTGCTAACTCTTCTTTTATCTTAAATTAACCATTTC